CACGGAATAACACTTTGTGTGATCCAAAAATTGTTGTATCGGGTCTGGGTGTCATGTGTAAAAATATTTGTACCTAACTTCTGCCCGCGGCTTCGCCCACATACAAGTAGGATAAAAAGTGTATTTTAAAGTAAACTAAAAAATAATTTCTATGTATAATTCCCGACCAATAATCTGTCCCTATTCCAAATTTAATCCCGATCCCTTAAGCGGTTTTGACGTGATCGAGTAAGAAACATACACACACACAACAACTTTGGCATTTATAATTAGTAAGAATTATACAAAAACGATATTAAACTTAATGATGATTTCACATATTGTGTTCAAAAATTACTTACAATTTTACAACATAATAGTTTCTAAGGACCAAAAATTTGAACCTTAAATACAAGTATACGGATTGATTTCACATTTTGTTTTTGCTACATGAAGCATTAATTAGGCGTTAGGCGTTGCCTTTTCGTGGATAAGCTTATCTATCTAAGCTACTTATTCACGGTGGAAGATATTATCGCCGTAGGTTTGCATGCCACACGCTTGTTACTTCACAGTCAGGCTTCCCTTAATTTATCAAGCTAATGACCAACATCCTGCGAGAAAGTTGAAGATATCTACACTTTTTGGTACTAAACAAGAAAATCTGATTACAGTATTGTGACAATTTGATAAAAAAAATATTTGGAAAGAAGACATTAAAGATATTTCGTTTTATTCATAACTAGCGACCCGCCCCGGCTTCGCACGGGTGCAATATGCATGTATTATACATATAAACCTTCCTTAAGAATCTCTCTATCTATTAAAAAAAACCGCATCAAAATCCGTTGCGTAGTTTTAAAGATCTAAGCATACATACGGACATACAGCGAAAGCGACTTTGTTTTATACTATGTATTGATTATGACTGCGGGCTGTGGGCAGTTTCTTTTTAAATCGTCACCCCACACTAAGATTTTCTCCCCTGTCGTGGGTGTGTTTACACACATACAAGATATGGACAAAAAATCGCGGGTTTCACACGTGAATATACTGAGAAAATGTCTACTAGTTTTGAGACACAGAGGCTCTTTCTGCTGATAGCAGCGTGTGCAGTCCGCGATTTTTAGTTAATTTAGTATGTGTAACGATAGTAATTATAAAAACACATGGAATAAATGCTTCGACCCTACTTACTTGATACTATGCATTGTCCACTCGCTCTGCAGATGACCTAGCACCTCTGCCAGCCCCTGTTTGCTGCACCTCCAGCTTTGTCCCTCAGTTATGTCATACGAACAGTGAAATAAATTCAGAGGTAAGTCCAGCGCCATATTATATTGAGGTTTCCTAGTAACAAAAAAATATTTGATGTGGGAGATTTATATATCGACACGAATGGGCTGGTTTGACCGGACTTATAACATAATTGGTGAAAAATGGGTGCTATATTGTAAATTAAAAAATAATACAAAAGCGCCTAGGTTCACTAGTAGACTAACGGTCGGACGAATGGGTACTTGCCTTAATTAAAAATAAATTATTTCGATTGTATAAAATATTATTAATTAATCACACTTTCAAAAAATGGATTTTATGAATAATTTAATTTTAGTATTATTCCAGTAAATATGTAAGAAATAAGAATGCTATTTGACGCTAATAAAACGTGACGTCACAATACACAATCTCATACCGTTTTTGACAGTTCGAAAAAAGTATTGAATTTCACTAGTTGGAATTGGAAAGTACCCAATAAGGATTAATTTAAATATAAAATTGCTTTGACTTTGACTTTGAAAAAAACATTTTAAACCTTATTTTATGGCATCACATCGGATTGATCACCTATAGGTAAGCGTCAGCGTAGCCCAAGGACACCCGTAACCAGAGATGGATTAAACTTAGACAGCACCCTAGGCAAGCACCTTAGAGGCGCTCCTAATTATTTTGGCACCGTCGCCACTTTGTGGGCTGTTTGGCGTCTCGTAGCGCTCGTCTGTAACCACTGGCGCCCTTACACTTGCCTAATTTGTCTAATAGATATTACTGCTCTGCCCGCAATACCAGAGGAGTCACAACTGCATTGCCGGCCTTTTACAAAGAAGTACGCTCTTTTCTTCGGTTGAAGGTGGTTTCGGTTTGGAAATAGGAGCGCTACTGAGACAGTTAATTTTACGCTTTATGTATGAAGCCGAAAAAGTAATAAAATTAACTTTATTCTCTAACAGATCACACCTAGGATTTCATAACATAACATAACATAACATCACGCCTTTTATCCCCGAAGGGGTAGGCAGAGGTGCACATTATGCCACTGTACAATGTAACACCCACTTTTCACTATTTATGTTATGAGTCCCATGTAATAGGGGGTGAGCCTATTGCCATATACCGGGCACAATTCCAGACTCCGTGCTACTACTGAGAATTCTTAAAAATCCAGTAATACTTTGCCCGACCCGGGAATCGAACCCGAGACCCCTTGCCTGGCAGTCGCACTTGCGACCACTCGGCCAACGAGGCAGTTTAAACCTTTTTTTTCAATTGTTTAAACCTTTTTAAATACACTTACTCGAAATAACATAGGAAATGAACAAGCAAAAGCTAGTTCGGTGACTCGGAAACACTAGTTCACACGAAGCTGTTATTTTTAGTGAAACTCCGGAAGAAACAATAAATGTCCGTCCTTCCACTGTCAGATGGAAGAAAGAGACTCCAGTACTCCACCTTTTGTTACTCCTATCTTGAATATTTGATAGGAAAAAATACTTTATATATTTATGCAACAAAGGGCCATATTGTTTGCTTTGTCCGTGCGTTGTCGCCCGGGTCAAGGGTCCCGATTGAAATCTCAGTGTAAATTACAAAGGTTTTCTGTTATTCAGCTTATTATGTTGAAAATATTTGATGAGATTATGCGTTTTTAATAAGCCCTGTTGGCCTTTGGACGTGAAGGTACAAGAGGTTCAAGGTTTAATTTCTTTTGTTTTTTAATACACTTCTAAAAGAAGGTATCTATTGTAGTACGCTTGAAGAAATCACAGCGCGATAAGGTTGCCCATTGTGTTATTTTAGATTTTAATTTTTTCTCGCTATATGACTATTAATGATTACTTTCATTTTGCTTTTCAATAAATATATTAAAATTATTGTATTTCATTTTTACTGTTCCCTTTCTCGTCTGTTCAGTGCTTATTATTTTACTTACTTTAATAGATATGAAAAGACACCTGTAACAATGGATCTCATTCTGTGTATAGGATCTCCAAGAGACACATATTTTGTGAACATAAGAAACAAATCTATGAATGTGTCGTCCTGTTTTAGCAACCATTTCTTTAGAACCCTAATTAATTTTTTAGGAGTTTCTATTAATTTAATAAAACAAATAATTAATTTAATAGAAAATAGAGACTTTAATAGACTTTTCCGAAAGACTAATATTTAAGTAATTAACGGATGGCGAGCACTGGAAATTCGCCGCCTTATCAGACTGAAACCCGAGCGTACGGTACGTCGCATTCCGCGCCCGCGTCATAGAGCCATCAGACCACTACAGATGGCACCCAAAAGGGCTGATGCCGATACGGAGCCGTGGAAGACTTTACGGGTTGCTGGGGCTCGAGCTCGAAGTGCAGGAGTAGGAACAGGGTGGTTTTTAGTCAGGAAGAGTCTGACACTCCCTCTCACCTCACCTGGGCGGGAGAAATCATTGGATAATTTTACCCCTCATAAAAAGTGAGGTTACAAAGTACCTATTTAAAATATAGCAGTAATTGGAAAGTGTAACTGCTAACTTGGCGGGCAAAGTTTTCCTAGAATGTATTGATTGGACATACGTACCTAACTAGATTTAAACAATGTATTGCTGTGCACATATTAATGATCTTTAATATTTTGTTACTGCAACTACAGTTCCTCGAAGAAGTCGTGATAAAGTCACATAGTTATAACTTTAGACATAGGTACTAGGATTAACCCGTTAAACGATATAGGGGTCACCCAGTGACCGGCGTTAGTGAAGAATCACCAACTAAAATTTTGATGTGAAATCTGATCGTTCTTTTATTTTTATGAAGGTGATAATCCAAAATATTAAATCGTTTCGCAATAGTTCAATCTAATCGCAATTCTATAAAACGCTGTTCCTGTTTCTGTATGAAATTAGTCGACTCAGTCTTGGCCAATGTAAAAATAATGGAGGAAAACACGAAACAAAAATATTATCTAATTATCTTGTAAGAGAAAATTTATGAAGATTTTAATGTAATAAATTCGAAATAACAGTACCTAGCTACTTTGTCTGCGTATTTGTATTTTATTTATTAGTAAAACAATATGGCCGCCAAAAAGTTGCCAACGTGTTTGTTTCCGAATTTATTCGCGGTAGTGCTACAGGAATAGACCTCTGTCACCTCAACTAAATAGATCGTCAAGATATTTGGACGGGTGTGGAACTCACCCAATTACAGGTGTTACAAATATATCCGCCATTTATATTTCGCACGATGAAAACCGTTTAAAACTGTTTTTCGAGAAAAACATTTTCTTTTGCCATTTATTTTGGGTTTAATGTCGTCTTTACATTATTGTTTTGGCATTGTGGTGGTATTTTTGTGAGTTTAAAATGTTTTTTTTTTAATATTAGAATCACGTAAAAGTTTGTTCATGTTAGCATTTATTTTTTATTTTGCCAAACCAATTGGCCAAAAAGCATTGTGTATTCAATTGAACCTTAATAAATCTATTTGTCAATAATAATGATAGTAGTTGTTATGTGTATACTTTCTTGGAAATTATTATCTTCATAAATAACACGCGATGAATATGTCAGTAGTAAAAGTGACATTGAACGGCCCAATTAAAATAATCGATACTACCACTTTAATAGCTATTTGATTTGGATCTTGTTTGTTTGGCTTCATTCTTCGTCTAGACGTTGAAAGACATCTCCAATAACATTTGTTTTAAAGTTTCAATTCATCATTTTTTTACAATAATAAACAAACTGTATTCACCTCGCTTTTTCAACCTTACCAAAACTATTTACACGTTTGAGCACTTCATAACTTAACTAAACACTAAGCAATTTAGGTATGTACACACAGTATGAACACTTAATTTATTTAGCACTTAGATTTATTTTAATAACTGTCAACAAACTATCATGCAAGTCTGCGCGCCGCGATTTTCTAGCCGCATCGCGTTCGGCGCGTAAAATCAAAATTAGAACACAATACGTCACAGACAATTTTTTTGTTTTTTCACCAACCAGTGTTTATTTCATTTTTAATGTTCGGACACTATCGTGTTATTTTTTCATGTGATACGCGATGGTGCTCACCGTTCGCGGTCGTTATACCGACTGAGGATTTTGCCGCGCGCCCGACGAATATTTTACTCCTTGGTCACTAGCGTATTATCGATGATTTCAATCTTGATAACGTACGGTACAATGGGGTCAGGGTTCGACTTGAACCGGTGATGAAGCGAAACCGTGATTTGGAGTCGACAGCTTCGACGCAAGTTTACATTTTTTTCGGTGAAAAATAACTATTTCTTTTTGGAAGTGTGAAATGTTTTACGCGTGTGAAATTCTTGTGTTGGCGTCTACATGCGAGTGATTTATCAAGGAGAAAGCATTTTAATAGTTCATTATTTTGCAAACAAAAACTAATAACTAGGTTATTTATACTTTTACTTAGGTAATTAAAAGATAGCCTATCTAAATTCTAAGAAATTCCTAAAAAATACCCCTTAGTATTTTATTCAGGAACATTCGCTTTATTTCTTTTATTTTTTTAAGGAAGGATTTCATCGAATGCCTGGGTGAGGCGGGAGGGAGTGTCAGACTCTTACTGACTAAAAACCACCCTGTTCCTTCTCCTGCACTTCGAGCCGGAGCTCCGGTAACCCAACATTCGCTCTATTAAGATTCTATTTAGTACGGCTACAAAATTGTTGTAAAGTATTCAGAATATATTTAAAGTGTAAACTCGCACGTTTATTGCTTGGCAGCGCAATGAAGACTTACAGTCGATCATTATTTTGCTTTACGAGACACTTATAATATTTAGAGATGTTCACAATTTATGCTCATAGTTTAATATCTTCATGAAATATCGAAATATTGAAATTCCATGCAACATATTATTTTGGTTATTTTTTTTAAACTGTCAAACACCATTGGCTACCTCATTGGCCGAGTGGTCGCAAGTGCGACTGCCGGGCAAGGGGTCTCGGGTTCGATTCCCGGGTCGGGCAAAGTATTACTGGGTTTGTAAAAACCTCAGTAGTAGCACGGAGTCTGGAAATGTGCCCGGTATATGGCAATAGGCTCACCCCCTATTACATGGGACTCATAACATAAATAGTGAAAAGTGGGTGTTACATTGTACAGTGTCATAATGTGCACCTCTGCCTACCCCTTCGGGGATAAAAAGGCGTGATGTTATGTTATTATGTTATGTCAAACACCAAGCGGTCACCGATGACCGCAACCTATTGTTCTATAATTGTGTCTATAATGACGGTACTCGACGAGTTAAGGGTGGAAAATTATCGATCGAATGACTGCTCCCGCCTGGGTAAGGCGGGAGGGAGTGTCAGACTCTTACTGACTAAAAACCACCCCGTTCCTTATTCTGCGCTTCGAGCCGGAGCCCCGGTAACCCGTAAGGTTCTCCGCAACTCCGAATCGGCATCAGCCCTGTTGAGCCCCATCCGTGATGGCTCTTTGAGGCGCGAGCAGAACGCGACGCGCCGTACCCTTATTTTATAGTATATCTCCTGGTATGTCTTACAATTGTCATCAACTAGCGAGGGTTGTATAGTAGCGTTCTTGACATTTTTGGTGTCAACGTTTGGATTTTTGCAAATCTTTTAAGAGCTAATTCTTTCAACACTGGACTCATAGCGGCTAATGATGATGAGTGTTTGCGAATATTCGCGGGACCGGTTCTCATGCAGTTTTCAGAAACGTATTTGTTATAGTTAGGAGTAGGTTTTTAAGCCTTTGCCTTACCGTGAATATGTAGATTACGAAGTTTATAAAAATCTAATCGTGTCTTCAGGTAGGTATTATGTGCAATTCTACCTTACCTGCCTCGTTGGAAGTAGTAGACAAAGGGGTCTCGGGTTCGATTCCCGAGTCGAGCAAAGTATTTTTTTTTAAGGGGGGAAAATCATCGAATGTCTGCTTCCGCCTGCGTGAGGCGGAAGGGAGTGTCAGACTCTTACAGACTAAAAACCACCCCGTTCCTTCTCCTGCACGTCGAGCCGGTGCCCCGGTAACTCGTTAGGTTCTCCGTGACAAAAAGTATTGCTGGGGTTTTTTAAAACAATCTCAGTAATAGCACGGAGTCTTAAATTGTGCCCGGTATATAGCAATAGGCTCATCCCCTATTACATGGGATGATGAGTCTCATAACATAAATAGTGAAAAGTGGGTGTTACATTGTATAGTGACATTCAATGCCGTAATATGCATCTCTGCCGATCCCTTTGGGGTCAAAGGTGTGATATTTTATTCTACCTAACCTATTTTAACCCTATATTTATCTACTACCTACTAGCTAATATATTCATCAGTATAATCTGCTGAATATTCAACAACATGTCAAATGTCAATCATCGTAGTGGAGACGGTCAGGCGGCAGTATAGCAGGTGACGTCACTTATGTCATGAATACCTCATGCATAAAGGAACGGTGACACCGTTTCCAGGTCATTATTAAAGCCATGACCTAAGGTCCTGTCCTTTGTTTGTCTACAGTCCACATTGTAGTATTATATCATGGTCAAATTTAAAGGGAATGAAGATTAATGAATCGTAAAACGATAGGTGTCATAAGTGCTTTAACCGCATGAATGGTTGATGGCCGTCCATCTTTTTACGAATTAGTTAAATGATAATATTTGTATAGTGAACTGCGAGAAATGGTGACATCTCGTATCGAAGGCCTACATTCATTATGGGTCGTCGATTCAATGGAATCTAATGAAGATTTTTTTTTAATTATTTTCGAAATTATTACTTAAAATCTCAACGATCGAAAATGATCGTTGCTATATTCTAACAATTTTTTATTAAATGTGTTAAAAGAACAAAAAATCTGGAATCTGGAATTGTGCCCTGTATATGGCAATAGGTTCACCCCCTATTACATGGGACTCATAACATAAATAGTGAAAAGTGGGTGTTACATTGCGCAGTGGCATAATGTACACCTCTTCCTACCCCTTCGAGGTTAAAAGACGTTATGTTATGTGTAACTAGTGTCCATTGATTGTGCAGTTAACTGAGTCTATTTTTAATGCGGGATGTTATGTAAGAACAAAAACTAAACAAAACATTGATTTATATCAATAGTCTATCTTTTTAATAGCACAATTACCGCGCCAAAACAAAACACTGTCGACTGTTAATCTGGCGGTGGCGAGGTCGGGCGCGGCCAACTAATCATTTAGTGAAGCGATACGAGAGACACATGGAGTCGGTGCCTGCTATGGCTTCCGACATTCTAATTATGCTCTTAATCTTCGCGAACGAGACAATAAGTAGTTCTATTTTAGTGTCAATTTGTTCACAAGAGAATTTGTGTTAGTATTTATTGCAGAAGTCAGCTATGTGACTTTTCGCTAACTGTGATTTGAGATGCAATTAATAGAACACTATAAGTTGAACTATTCGCACTAAAATAAATCACGTATAATAGAAAACAAGTGTTAATTTCTCTAATACTTCTAAAGTTCTTACCGCTCCGTTTCACAGAAAAAAAGTTTCAATGTATCAAAGATGCATCCACGTCGTGTCGCCGTCAACGTCGTTCTCTTAAGACTGACAGTAGATAGAGTTTTGAGTACGAGTGCATGTCTTTTTGTCTATACAAAAAAAAACTAACTTCCGATTTCAACAAAAAAAAATCTTACATTTCCTTCAGCTATGGTACCACTATCAATGAATCTCTTTGACTGGATTTTGGTGTCACATTGTTCTCACACAATCAAACTAACAAAACTATGTAACTGGAGAATTGTATTGTAAACCTGATTGAAAAGAGTAACCTACGGAGTTCCTTGTTCGTTTTTCTCCATAGGAATCTACATCTTGGAATGAGCAAATAGCTTCACTTTTAACTTTTTGTTGTTTTGTTTAAAAGTGCCTTTCTGGTCTAATTGAAATAAATGATTTTGACTTTGACTTAATTAGCGGTTTAAGGGTAAAGGATAGTCGCTACATCTAATACAATCGTGTTAGGATACCGTAAAACAAAGGCCCAATATATCCTGAATAAAACTTATTCAAAAATTGAATGAAAGCATTCCACGTGCAAAATATAATATTGATAAACATTGTTATTCATCACCTTATTCTAGGAATTGAAATCTGTTGTACATGACAAAATAATATCCCTATTAATTCGGCTAGACGCTCGTCTGAAGATCATAAGATATCTTCGTGTTATTGTAGCCTAGTTCTCGAATAAAGTGTTCGTGAACTAGATCCTTGCTTGTTATAGGTTCCTGATAAAATGTCGATGGAAGTTTAGGAGTCTCAAAGGTCTGGATCCGATTTCTAGGTATTTTATTAGGATTTTTATTTGTCAATTGTCCGTCTAGTCATTCTGAAACTATAGTATTGAAACAGAGACTCGATAAAATCTCACTATGAAGAATTTGAACAGTTCAAATTAAATTGTTGCATTGTACCTATTGTTCCTAGTATGGCAACTTAGACGTCCTGTCAACTACTTATGTTTTTAATTAGGTGGATGACATAATATTATAGGTCAATACGGAGATTGCAAAATAGGATATTATGATATTAAAACTACTTTCTGCTAGCGGTTTCGCCTGCTAAAAAGTAGCCTATACGTTGTATCATACCATAACCTACCACTGTTAGAAATTTCATCTCGATTCCTTCAGCCGTTTTGACGTGAAGAGTAACAAACACACACATACATACATCCACACAAACTATCGCATTTATAATATAAGTAGGACAGGTAAGACTTAGTTGTGTGACAAGAAAATCTATTTTTTTTTTCGAATCGTAAACATTTACTGAATGAACATTGTACAAGTCTGTTGGAGTTAGATATAGCCTCTTTCCTCGAGATAATATATTACGTGTGAACAAGAGCTCTTAAAATAAATAGTTCGTACATAAAGCCTAATAGTTTTTTTATACTGTAGTGGCGATTAAGTCATCATCATCATCAGCAGCCTATAAATGCCCACTGCTGAGCAAATCTTCTCACATGGAGAAGGTTTGAGCACTAATCACCACGCTTGCTCAATGCGGGTTGGCGATATTGTATATAGTTAATAATATATATAACT